AGTAGCAATATATTGTGCAACTAGCTTGCGCCCACGGCTTCGCCCGCACATTATTATATCGTGTTTAAAAATACCTACGGAACCCTTCGTGCGCAACTCCAACTCGCACTTGGGCGATTTTTTTAACTTTATATATACCATCATTTTACAGACCATAGTTAACTATAGTTTCATTGCACAAATCTACAATGGGGTTCTTTAAGTTGATATAACTATTTTATTTATCATCCGACTTAAATAAAACTAACAATAAATGTTAAGAGAAGCTTACTACAAAGCATTTGTAAAAGTTGCACTGACACAGACAAACAGATAAACAGACAATAATTTTAACTATCATTGTTTTGGGTTCTACTGCGTTGATAAAGGCCCCTAATAATGGTTTTTCTCAAATATCTTCTATGTACAAACAACAATCAGTTAAATTTTTATTAAATGTATGATATTCTTTGAGCTCATAGTTCGCCGCCGCGCCAGTTGCTTAAATCAACTCGGGATAATATTTGGATGTCAACTTAGGAGTACAGCATTTTGGGCTTCACCTCAATCGAATTAATACAGGCTGCATGTGCTATCAAGCATAACAACAAAACTATACACTTTACAGTAAGTAGGTACTTTGATAATGTCCCAAGGATTCATTAATATCAAGCGATAATATTTACAATATTAAAAATATTTATTCACTAGCATCCTATGGTAAACTAATTAAGAGGAAATAGGGTATAACCATCTCTTTGTCTATTATATTTATCTATGTTATTATATTCGAAGGAAAAGGACTATATTATATATATATATATATATATATATATATATATATATAAAATCGAAATCTCGGAAACGGCTCCAGCGATTTTCATGAAATTTTGTATGTTCGTAGATTGGGGGGCGAAAAATCGATCTGACTAGGTTTCATTTTTTAGAAAATGTCGTTTTATCCTAGTTTTCAAGGAATGAAAAATATCATTCGAATACGACGGTAAATTTCGCCGCAAAACAAAATGTTATAATAGCTTGGTCGGTAATCGGGCGGCCCCGAAACAGAAGGCCGTGGTTCGTGTCACGATCATTTACACATTTATTTTTTCACTTTTTTTTCGATTCCAGATCATTGCTTTCTTTGTTTTTAATTTTTTGTCGTTTTGTTATTTTCTTATTTTTTTCCCTTTTTTTTTAAAGTTCTTTCTTTTGTGAAAAACATCAGTTCATATTTTCTTATTATTACGTCGGTAAGATAGAAAAATATTATGCATATTTCATTATTCAGTAATTTGTATCTAAATGTAATTTCCAAAATACATGATTTACCAAAAAAAAAAACAAACCGAGCCAAGCTCGGTCGATACGCGAGCAGGCGGTTCACCTGATGTTAAGTAAATACCGCCGCCCATGGATATTATCTGCTACACCCGAGGGTTTGTAGATGCGTTGACAACCTTCTAAAAATGGGTCCCGGCTGCCTCACTCACCAAACCAAAAACGAAACATAATTATTATTCTTCGACTTTCCGCGGGTCTTCTGTGAGGTCGTGGTACTTTCCCGTACGAATCTGCCCATTCGTGCAACAGTGGAGTCTGTTGCGAGGCCAGGTTAGTGTGGTATAACTGTATATGTTTGCATGTGAATAAGATAACAAATGATGTAATTAACAATAACAAAACTAGCGTGTAGATGTGACAAATTACTCACGTGTCGAGAGGCACGCCCACTTAATTAATTGCAACCTAGAGTGAAACACACCCTCATATTTAAATTACGCTTAACAATACAGCTATATGAATAACAACAATACAGGGACATGTGAATTATGGTGGTCATTAGAATAATTATCTTCAATCAAATTTATTAACACAAAAAGCAAAGTTCGATTAAATGTTTCGAACACGTATTACATATGTCTATATTTTTAATACATTTTTGAAGACTTACAACAGAGTTGAGCAGAAACTACTAAGAAAATTGCAATGTATGGTAAAAGTATCAAATAATTTTTATATGGATCACACGTCCTTTATATTTTAAATTTAGAATCATTCTCAATTCGACAATAATAATTGTCGATTTTGTTTTTCAAAAACCTTACAAATTAAAAGCATTCTTTACCGCCAGCGGGAAAAATGTTATACACATAAACAACACGTTTCGATAATGGCCTCTCTACCAAATGGTACGGTCGTAAAACAAAGGGACAGCAAATATACTCTGCATGCTTTTATGTATTCCTATTAATAAAAACACTATACTTCGGTTGGCATGCCTGAAAGCCATAATATACAAGAATCAATAACTAAACTCCATGGTACACTAATGCAGTAGCACGTACAAACATGGCTGGAGGGATAACTTTAACGATTGCACTCCGCCCCTGCCCTAGGGAGGGTTGGGAAGTCCAAAGGGATGACGTCACCGTGTAATTTCTAGTCCATATAGGAGCTATGTCGGGATTTTTAATAAATTTAGTATTACCATAAGTCTGTGTATTGAATTTCAATTAAAAATAATTAACTTTGTATACTTATTACATTAAAAAAAGATAACTATACCGAAGAGTTACACTGACGTAGGAAAAAAATTTTTACAGTGTTAGTGGGATAGTTGTTAACATTTCGATTGTCAGGCTTCGTTTTGAAATCTCAAAGCAAATGGATTTTTTGTTGCGAGTTATTATTACTTCAAAACGCCCATATTATGGCCTCCGGACGTGTTAGCATATATTATCTGTGCGCATAACAGTATGCGACTATATTATGCGGCTGTATTATAACAAGGTGCTGACAGAAAGGCGATTATATATATGCTACCGGAAATCCACAATCACGTCAACGCGCCGCTGACATTTATTCAGAGACCGGCTGATAACCGGGAATTCATCTGCGTCGCTTTTGTATTTTTTTAACAACTACACCGCTTGCCACACTGCAAGAAACCACCATGACAATAACAACAATCACTAAAGATATCACAACATTTATTTTTAGATAAATGCCCAACGGAATTAATTAAAATATATCCATTAGTTTCCGTGATGCGCTCACAAGAACAGGCCTCTATCATTTTATTTATACAGATTCGTAACTTTGTCACGACCGCTTCCTCCTTGACGAGATTTAGTGGTGCTACGAGATTGGACTAGGGAATTGAGGCATTTAATTCCTTTCGTGGCACATCAAAGCTGTGGAAAGACCTTAACAAGTTTAATATCGCAAACACAGGGAAAGCAGTCTTAAAAAGTTACTTGTGTGCGTTTAGAAAATACATTCCCGCGTGCACGTATCTGTTTAGAAAACACATTCCACCATTAACATTACATTACATATCGCATATCATGCAAAATCTATTGATTTTTAACAAGGCCATTGTATTTCAAAATTTATTAGAGCGTTTTGTAGCACAAAGAACATGTACGAAAATGATAAAGAACTGTTAACTGCGTTTGTTCCGAGACATGAGACGTGATCATGACGCTATAGAGTGATGGAATTTTCTACTTCTGATATTGCTAGACAGTGTTTTTTGATGTTGGCTGGCGCATCCAGTTTTATGTTTTCGTTAAAATCGCCATTCGAAAGTGGTCCAATAAAAATTGCAAATTATCAATAACTCTGATGCGAATAAGAATTTAAGAAGTAAAATTTCTTCTTATAATATATTTAATTATAGACAATTTACATTGAAATTGTTAATTTAGCGTTTCACGATGCTTACATTCGGACTAGACTCGATTAAGTCAAACTAAATTAAAGCAGTGGAGATTTTGAATTGAAAAACAAACTACTCTCATATTATGCGAGAGAAATTTTTCACCGAGAAATTTTACTAAATAAGTGGTTTTTGGTTGAAATTTGTGAAATATATACTATAGACTGAATAGATAGATTTTTAATATTAAAGGCTAATCAAACATAAAAAGGACAATTTGAAATCGTACACATTATTAATGTGATGTTTTAATAATAAAAATTACTAATAAAACATTAAAAAAAAACATTGGAGGTGATCTTCAATCTTCGTGGGCAGATGTTTTTCTGTGTCTGTCTTTACTTGACGTTTAAAAATAAAAGTAATTTATTAATTTATAGTAACTTTCGCCTGTTGTGCTTGTGTTCGGCCGACGTGTATCCAAGTTCATTTCGTATAACATAGTAATTTCATATGGTAAAATCATATAATTACGTCACAGGTCCCTATTAAAAGTGTCATTAGGTGAGAAGCAAAATAATTTACAAACAATAAAATTTATCACTAAGTAGCTGTACAATCGTAAATTATAGATAGGCTGTTGATTAAAGAATAAAGCAATTATCACGTTAATAACCTGTCTGCATGTTTGAGTTTTGAAAGAAAAGGTATTTTTTCTTTCAAACGAGACCTGTACCATGATTATTCGAAGGTAAAAATATTGGCATAAAGTACATTTATGCTTTTATCAAATATTTATGTGTGACGCAAATTTTAGTCCTTTGCGAAGATCTCGTATCTCGCTCTCAACCACCAAAGATTAACTGGAAGAAAATGCTATTTAGCATTAAGTTCGCCTTTGTACAAACTTTTAGTACAATAAAGAATATACAAACAAACAAACAACCTATGACCACGGGGCGCATCCGCATTTCACGTGGAGTTCACGAGAACATCAAAAGACTAAATTATTCGATTTTTCGATTCTGATACTTCAAATTTGTATAATTATTTTCATACATTCGCGCGTTGCCTGTACGTTCACACAGGATTGTTCACTATAATACGTCAAGTCATGTTTCGCAAAACAAGCAGAACTTTGTCCCTTTACAAAGATAAATGTTCAAATTAGACCTCAGACAATACTAGTAATAATTAATAGGCATAACAAATCCATGGCATAACCAGTAGACAACACAGACGTAAAAAACTATTCTTGTGTGATTTCACATCACTTACACAAATAAATGCTCGAAATTACAGTGCTATCTGACTACGCTAATAGGGTTGAACTTGATAGATTTTTGTATTGACTCACCTGTGTCTGTGGGGCTAGGCGGGGCGCGCCGCACGAGCACTGCTCGCCGCAGAGGCAGCCGTTGTCGAACGCCCTGCCCGACGCCAGGTCGCCCAAGTGCCGTCCAGAGGGCGTGGCAACCCTAAGAGCGGAGGCGTCCGACTGGGACCTGTGGTGGCCCCGGGCTTCCGACTGGGATCTGTGGTGGCCGCGCCTCGCCGCCGGCCTGATCTCCTCCGCGAGGATAGAATCGCGCAGCTTGGTCGCTTTCGATCGCTTCGCATCGCCGCCGAACGCGGTGAGAAGCCACGCGAGCCTCAGCGAGAACTCGGCGCTCTGCTTACACCTGTGCACCAGGTAGGGGCGGAGCACGTCCGCCACGTCTCCCATCTCGATGTACATCGTCGCCAGCTGGGGCAGATAGAAGTCGACGTCCTCGTGGGGGAACGAGAACAGCTTGTTGGCGAGGTACATCTGGACGCCGGGCTCCTTGGAGTTGAACAGGTATGATATCGCCATGCTCATGTCGAACAGCTTGCTCTCGAAGAGGCGCAGAAGGAAGTCCTTGTTCTTCGAGGTCTCCGCTGTGGAGATGTCGCTCGTTGTGGGCAGGGTGTCCGGGGGCTCGGGCGGTTTGTCGGTCTCCTCCGGGTTGCCCGAGTCTAGGCTCTCTCGCGACCTGGCCGCCGCGGGGGGTTGGGGTCTGTCCTCGTCGTTGGGGTCTGGTGGGGTGTGTATGCCGGAGTCGTCCGAGCCGGCGGGCACCTTCGCGGGCAGGGCTAGTCTAGGCCCCGGCGCGTCCAAGGGCAGCCACAGCTGCGCCCCCTGCGGTGACGTGGGCGTCATGTCCTCCGGTATCCGTTGGAGGACAGAGTCTAAGGACCTGTTCCTCTGGTGGCCGCATCCCGCCGGCGGCCCGCTCGAGCCAGTCACATGTCTGCGGACAAACAGAACATGGCATTATTTACTTGTATACAGCGTGTCGTTACCATCACGACAATAAATGAACACACGTCTAACGCAACGTACCAATAATCATAAAAAAATATTAACGTTAAACAAAATCCATAAATAAAAAAAAAAAACAAACTAATTACGTGAAAACGAAAAAAAATTTGTAACATCCTATACAACTCGCGCCACAGCGTCGTATTACCAGCCTCTCCTTCTAACAGTATGTTTTGTATCTTTTAAATTCATTCGACCCATTCATATGCTTTGTGACCTTTACAAATGAACTTTACGTTACGCTTTTATAGGTAAGGGTGTTCTAAAGTTCTTTGTTTTGGAAAATTTAATAACTCTGTAAATGATGTTTAAAGAATTTAAATGTTTAATACAACTTTAAAAAGTTATCCCCTATATGTGTGTTCATTTATTGTCGCAATGGTAACGACACGCTGTATATATTTTATATTATACTAGCTGCTGCCCGCGACTACGTCTGCGTATAGGGGTGAAAATTTAGGGGTGGACCGCCCTTAACATTTATGGGGATGAAAAATAGATGTTGTCCTATTCTCTGCCCTGGTCGTTATGCACACAAAATTTTACGAAAATCGGTCAAGCCGTTTCGGAGGAGTTCAATTACAAACACCGTGACACGATAATTTTATACATTAGATTTGATTGTGAAGTTTAATTCTTATAGGTTTACCTCTCTTGCGCATGTACGTGAAGTGTGAGGTATGTAATACATAATATTGAGATCTCCTGATATGGTTGTATGTTATATTTAGACATGAATATTTTTTACTTTTAATGTTTTAATCACTTTATGATGTACCTTAAGCAATACTTATTCTACTGTGTAGAGACGTTGTTTTTTTATTGTCAGAAGACGGCTAGCGCGCTAGCGGTTCGCCTGATGTTATGTGATAACCACCGCCCATGGATATTTGCAACAACAGTAGGGTTGCAGATGCCTTGTCACCTTTTTAATAAAGTGGGTCCCGGTTACCTCACTCACCAGACGTAGAAGTGTAACACTTCCACTTCGGGGTTCTGTGAGGTCGTGGCTGCCCCGGACGGACCTGCCTATTCGGGCGACAGTTAAGTAAAGACCGTTGCTTGGTGGGCTTAATGGGGTACAAATCGCAAATCACGAGAGTTTGATAATAAAATAAAAAAATAATAATATAAAAATTAAATTACAGAGAAAGCATTAGTTATTAAATGGAACTATTGTATATGGATTTAACTACACGATTTCGTTTTTAAATTTGAATACTAATCAACAAGACACGAACTAAAGTGTTAATTCATGTCTTTAATGTCACAGTAAACCCTGGCTACTGTCACCTTGTTCATTATTTATCTCAGTTAAATGCAATCTAATCTATGCTGCAGTCAGTTCGTCAATTCTCGACGGAACATCTTTCATTACTAATTCAACTTATTTCCTCCCGCTCAGTCGAGGGCAAGGTTTTGAGAGACACGACCAATTAAAACCGAAACGTACTTGTAGAATGGGTCCTCGTAATAGCGTACGCCGACGACGACGATCTTGCGGACCATTTGGCGATACGAGAAACTGAGCACTTATTGGGAACGCACTGCACAAACACAATTAGCGCGTTCACACTACCATCGCTATATCGGTAGACAGTGGCGCGGCGTAAAGCACTACAACGAAACGGAACACGATATACGACGACGACACGTCCTTCCTCGGAGCGAGCGCGCGGCGAACTGATGTCTAATTTACGCAAGCAAACTCGGGCAGACACAGTCATAGCACAGAACACCGCCCCGCTTACCGTTCGGTATTTCGAACAAGGATCGCCCCCACTGCTCGGCCGAAACGCTACCGAAGACGTGAACACAAACAAGGGACCGCAACGCGTAAACAAAACGCTATCGCTAGTTGATTTTCCAGCGGGGCGTGTTGACGACGAAGCAGTGTTTTGCTGGAAACGTGAACTTAACTTCCATACGTAGGTAGCGAAAAGACACTGCGATGGGTCGCAAACCATTTGTGCAAATAGACGCACGCCCGAGAGACAACCGACGTAAGTACGTAATGCGTATTAGAATTCGAACTCCGCACGTGCAAATCGTATGTCACAGTTGCGTACAAAACGCGGTTGGAAACTAAACTAACCTAGGCTTCATAATCGGCGACCGGTGCCAAAATCGCGTACAGCCAACGAATAACCAACCATTTCCTTAAAAGACTTCCAGGTGCGGCGGCGTATTGGATTATCGCGTCGAGCATACCAACCGACCAAGGTACAGTTACGCGCGTAAATAGTAAGCGAACGACGCGGTGCACCTGCGAAATACCATCACGCGCGAATACTATGATTTTTCATTGTGCTACAGTAACAACAGCTTACATAATATCTCCGCCAGCTTCGCGAATAGAAACCAAGACCGACATAAAGTAAAAGTATCAATACTTTTTCTTTAACGTGATAAGTTGGTAAGAGAGCTACTTTTGTAAGTCATAACCACTGCCCATATGCATCTTAAGAATGTATTCCCGACATCAGACGAAACGCAAAAATAATTTTATTTTCATTTCATTTTTTTTCCGAACACATTTTTCCGCCCCAAAGTCCCAAACTAAGCAACTCTTGTACTATGGGTACTAAAAACTGATAAACGTACATGAACATACTTTTTTTTGTTTATAAATACATAATATACATAAAAACACCCAGGTACTGGAAAAAACACTGTGTTCATCACATAATATTTTTCCAGTAGTGGGGTCTGTGGGAATCGAACCCACACCCTTGGCGCAAGAGGCAGGTTCACTACTCCTCATGCCAATCGGGTCGACAACAATCCACCTAGAAGCGTCAGTGACTAACAACATGAGGAACTCCGTCCGAGGCACGCCACGTCTGAGGAGATGCGAAAGTCGATGATTAACAATACTGAAACACCAACAGCTGCGATCCGTGACATAAGTTTTATAGCACACATATACGAGAGAGTGAGAGAGAAAGAAGACATCGCGAAATAGAGAAAGCGGACGACGACCCCGAACGAATCCAATCGGTTTCGAGAGGAGCGCGCGTTACGTACGGCGCGTGCGGAATAAAAGGAAGCCAGTTAAAGAAGCTCAGATGGGCCGTGATGCGGCCACACCGAGGGGCCCCTTGGCGGGAGTGGTCGTTCGAACTGGCCCAGTTTATATTCGGAATGTAAACGTTATCGGTAATGGGGCATATGGTGTCGGCGCGCAGATGTGCCGACGATGAACTGACGGCGTCTCGGTCACGAAGAGGTCACGCCATTCAGATCTATTGATGGCATCTCAGCGTTCAGGGAATTCGATTAACTTTGCCATTACACAACAAACAAACGCGACGAACGTGAATTATGCAGCTGTTGTCTATTATATCTTGTGATATGTTATAAGAAATATATATTTTTTGACAATCATTGACTGCAATTACTATATTTTTACCATCTTTTATCTTGCAATGTTAAAACAAATCATTATGTAATATGGACAAACAAATTATAAAGACACATCTGTCACGGTTGGCCTACTCTTTGATCATAACACTCAGGCGAGGTGATTTAATGATTGATTACCGGCAATAAAGGTCACTACGACTCATGGAACAAAGCCAAATTGACGAATGCCTTCATTGCTATCGACAGTAGGAAGTTTTCTTTAAATGCTAGATATTTACGGAGCCATAAAAATAAAGTTTACTTCGAGTGACGATTACGTTAAATGAAACGGTGGTTGAACAAATGAATTAAAATGATACACATCTGAAGTCTTTTCGTCGTTCTAAAATTTAAGCTTTATTTTCTTTATCAATAGCTATCAAAAGGTATACGATTATCATTAAAGATTTTAGACTCTTGCCTTGAAGACGTAATACTCGGACGAGAAGACAGAGGGCAGATTTATATCGCTAAAATATAAAATTATTTCATCGAGTATATCTTGCTTACAATATTAAATCACGATCGATTGTACAAAAAACCACATACTACCATTTAGATAAGTCTTTAAACGAACTGCCGAGGGAGACAGTAGAACGCATCCCAAGCGAGTGGTAGAGTTTCCTTCCTAATGTTCCATATATGTATTTTTCTGCCACGTTTTCTCGGTACGACTAACAAGTGATATCATTACTTGGAAGCACAATGATCAATATCATAACACAAGTACCACAATTTCCCAGCCAACTTAAGAATTGTGTGCTAAATGTTAAAAATGTATTTGGACGAACTGAATCGCCTCACCTGTCCCGAAGATTACATTAAATGATTATATTACTAGTAAATTATTAAGACCTGATTGCAGAGATAATTATGTATACTAATTTTTAAATTGTAGTAATTTTGCTCACATAATTAGCATCACTAAAAGATTTCAGATTTTATACCTCTGTGTAATTTACGTTAGCATAGCATGGCGCATGATGGATCCAAAAAAAACTAATCCTAGTTTAGATGGCATTGTATTGCATTGACTTGCATGTACCATTCGCACGCGTTTGGCGTTCCCTCAATTCATCAACCCTCAATAGCAGCGTTAACCCACTGAACACGGCGATACAATATCCAGTAGAATATACAAAACGAAAGAACCATTCGTCTCCGTCGCGCGTGCAGCTACCTCAAAAGTAGAGTAATAAAGATGGCCAATACATTCATAAAGATGCCATTAAACTTTTACGCAACCTTTATGGCACGTTGCGTGACAAATCTATAAAAAAAATTCCATCAATGATTACGTAAGCTAAATAAAATCTTAGTGCTAATCACGATGTATCAAACGATTAATAACAGGTGGTTTATTTATAAAATATTTTGTCCAATTTTTATCGGACGACTAAATTAATAATAGGGTGTGTATTCTGAAATCTCACACAATAAATTGGCACACAAACGTTACTTAATCCGAACTTCATCCACTTTTATCTCTAACACAACAAATATTTTTTAACGAATGTACTTATTAAATAGCTGGAACCCTAAACGGTCGGCAAAATATTACAATTAAAAAGAGGTTATGAAAAAAATTGTTAATTTCACTTGCGGTTCTAAAAACAGAATTATGCACAAGTGTGCTTGAGTTGTTAAATGATGAATTAATTAACAAGCTAAGTAAGATTACCTACATCTCTGGATATAAAAGAAAAGTTTATTATATTAAGTACTCTTCCGTTTCAAATCTCTTTAATAACCTATTCGATATTTTTACAACTGTACTATTAGTAGTAATGTATTTATATTAAAGTACAAGCAGTAATAGTATACTTGTACGAAAGTTTGTGTGTGTTTTCGTTCACGAGCCAATTTCAGCATGCATTTTAAATAATCTTAAATGTGAGTTAAGCAAAATTAGGACAGGACACTTCATATTTCAAAAAAGATAATCAAAATGATTCTAAATGCACCACGCGGGCGACGCCGCTGGCAGAAACTAGTATAATGTAATATCGAAATCGTATATGAGGCATGAGAGTACGAGAAAGCGGCAGCCGTCGGCCTCATTCGTCACATTGTAGAGATAACAATTCTTCCCATAACACTAACAATACGAGATAAAAACGTATAAGAGCCAGCTTTTAATGCGTTCCGTCCTACGTAAGCAGAAACGTTGGTTGCATCGTCGATTCTTTAACACAGGCCTTAGTCCAGCGATGTCGAAACTTTAAAGGACATAAAACTTTTGAAAAATCAATATGATTTTATAGAACCGATCCGAACAGCTTTAAAATTAATTATCTTCGTCGTTGCGATGCAGCCCTAGAGTTGCCATAGGGTTCCGCGGGACCTACTCTACGAATGAGCTGTGTTGGAAGGTTGACGTTGTTAGAACCACCACATCGCATTTCCCAGCAAGGATGACGAAAATCGAAACAATGAATGATCTCTATATTGCGTATCCGGGATCGCCGGTTAAAGACTATGGATACTGATTTAGAGAAATAATAGCTGTAAGAAAAATTAAACAAACTTTACAGTAAACAGTAAAGATTTATAGCATATGTTTGAAGATTAAAAATTACCTGATTTCACTGAAACCTGGCTTAATAATTACTCAAAACGCGAATAAAAAACCCAAAGCATAAGGCGCTTAAAAGGAAAAAAATTCTATGCGACCGTCGGAACCGGAGCCAAATGTTGTTGATTGAGAACGCAAAAAAGCGCCCCAGTAAAACGCTGGCGTGTGTGCATTAGCACAACGATCGTGCTTACCAAATCGTAGGAGCGAAAGTGAACGCCTCAAGCGACCTTGTCGCTTTTAGCGTGTCTACGAGACCGTACACACTTTCCTTCAACGTTATTTTCACCGTAAGCTTAATATGACATGAAGATACTGACAGCTATCTTCACTTTATACAATAAAACTCATCACATGTAGACAGAGCTCATTGAAGTCTTCTGAATTTTATCAGAGACTAGATAACCAATTATTTATTACACTTTTATTTAGTAATGAATTGTTCTAATTTTATATTATTACTAGCGACCCGCCCCGGCTTCGCACGAGTGCAATGTATTATACATATTACCTGGAGTACCGAGCTTTG